GCTCAAATCAATGTTCAATGTAAGAAAGGGACTATAGTACTGATGACACAAGCATACATACTTTGTCAGAGCCTCAGAGGAGACGCAGACGAATGCAAACCTTGGAGGAGCTGATTCGGAAAGGATCGCCTTTTCCATTTTTATTAAGCTTCAACTTCCAGAATGACGTGGCATGCTAACTTTTAGCAACGCAATTTTCTTATCCGAACATCTCAAATCATTTTAAGTCATGTCAGTCTAGTCATTTTGATTGAATGGAATTGTGTGGCCGCAACGTACAGTGTAAAAGCCTATCATGATTACTTACGGCAAGGAATAGATTACTTAGCGTTTATTTAAGCAGGATAAGCAAGATACTGATACATCGATGCAAATATGCATCATCGAGATCATTTCGGTAATTCTGTATTTGAGCGTCCATCCTCCTGGGTGTAGTGACCCAAAAGCAGTAAACTCTCTCGTTTCGACAAGTGTAGATTAAACAGCGCTTTCACCAAACAAAACAGGTCTCCTGCCAGTGTATGATATTGCATTCAAACTTTTCCATAGAAAAAGCCTAACAAACCGACAAAAATTGACCCCTACCCGATTTGAACGGATGACCTTGTGGATTTCCACACTGGAATCACACACTCTACCAGCTGAGCTAAGGGGTCTTCAACATTATGAATGTCTGACAAATCTATTATCGGAATAATGGGGTCACATGGCAAGGCTGAGCTGATTACGTTATCTGCCTGCGGCTTCTTTGAACAGCATTCTTGGCTTGACCGCCTTCCGTCGTTGTCTGCAGCGAGGTGCTAGCTGTTTGACCGTCATGACCACCGTCTCCCCCTTTGCCCGTAGCAGTGCTTTTGAGGACACTCCGATCACGAATCGTGAACAAACCGTAAGCCCCCGTTTCCGTCTTATCTATCCCTTGAGCCTTCAACGCGAACAGATTCGTTCCAGATCGAAGAAATGTACAGTGTACCCGAAAGTTTCCTTGAAATTGAAGTGAGGAACCCTCAGACGCATGGTGAGCATCCAGTTGCCATTGTCCGATTTTGCTTGCTGATGGTATGTAGGTTTTGGGCGGAAGATGTACACCGATTATGAGGTCGTGTGCAAGGTTGGGTTAATCTTATCCTGGTTCTCTTGTTTTCTTTAACGCCGCATGTCCATAGACGAACATTCCTGCCTTCAAGCTACGTCATTCTCTCGTTCGCCGTCGTTACTCCGACTTTGAAGCATTTCGTGATATTCTTGAGCATGAGTCCACCCGCGTTAACATTCCGCCTCTTCCGGGAAAGGTTTTTACCAACCGCTTCTCGGATGAGGTCATTGAAAGCAGGCGTGAAGGCTTGGAGCGTTTCTTGAGCATTGTTGCGGGACATCCTTTGCTTCAAGTAAGTTCAGCTTTTTTTATATCGTTTGCCAATCTTTCATGAGATTTCCAGACTGGAAGCAAAGTTCTTTGTGCCTTCCTCCAAGATCCTGGCTGGGACAGGTCCCAATGGATATAAAGGGTCTGATACGATAGTCCATTGGCTGTTGCGGTGCATTCCTATGGTCTTCCCAAATTTTCATGCTACGGCGTTAGTTACTGGTGGTACCTCCACATCTATCTCTCAATTGTTCTCACCGTCTCTCTACGTGTATTCTCTATCGCTGAATCTCACTGTCTCTCTTCGTTCATTCCTTATCGCTGAATCTGTAATTAGAATGACTCTGCCTCAACGCGGCTTCCTCTTGTTTTCAAACCTGAAAGTAACAACATTTAATCTTTAAGCAACTCATTGAAAGTCCCTACTAGAGCAAACCATTTTCCCCTTTCCCATCGATCCTCGGCTTGGCACAGACGCGATTGCTTTTGTTCTCTACAACGGCGAAGTCGTGTGTTCCAACGTCCTGGCCGTCGAGCGTCGACTGTCCAGTGCCACTAGTCATATATGACTGACCGTGATCAAATTGTATTGTCGTATGGGGTTGAGCCATGGACAAAGTGTCACTATCCCAAGCGCGACCATGAGCAAGACGATAAAGAATCAGATAGCCTGCAATTTGCTATGCAGAGGTCAACAATGGACGGGGCGGCTGATATAGAAAGCGCATACCTGAGTAAAAGAAGCGACGGTTAGGAAGGCTGAATTCACTGGGGCATTGATTGCGTAAGTTATGAGGAATATCAAAGCAAAAATTGAATATAGAGATGCTGATTCGACGAGAATGGCAAGCAGCGAGACATAGTCTCTTGCGTGGTCCTTTGTTAGCGATTTCAAGATGCGTCTCCGGTAAAGTAAGAGACGGACAGAAATCAGAATGGTAATAATGATGTTGACGCTCAAGGAGATTGCATAGTATGACGTCCCGTAAGCCAGTGGCAAGGCACTGTAGAGAGAAAGACCAGGCTGGCTAGACTGAAGTGTCCATAACGTCCCCGTAACTTGAGATGTTGATGTTGGTTAAGTATTTACTCTTAGATCCTTTTAAGCGACTTACCGAAAGAGCCAAGAAGGAGCAATGCGGGAAAGGAGATTGCCAAACAGGCAGCATATTTTCCTGATGCTCTCCATATCACCCAACAACGCCAAAGCTATTCAAATTGCTCTGATCAATACGGTTTGTACAAAAGAGTAGATTGAACGAACTTACTACGAGAAGGTCAGAGAGAAATGTGATGGAAAAGAGTGATGCGATGAAGACCACGTTAATAGGTAAGTCCTGGGTGGCTAAAAAGTAAGCCCACGGACCACCTGGGTAATTGCGGTTGTCGACGTAGATCATCTGCACCGTATATGCTTGCGCGATTTCAAAGATAGTCTCGGTCAAGAGTAGAAGAGTCATATATGCCAGAAGAAAGGGAGACCACCGTCTCGAGTGCCTGGTCTTCCAAAGGTAAGAGGCGCACGAGGCGTAGAGGATGAGTTGGATGCCTAGCAAATCTGTTGGCCTTAAGGTCAACAACATGAAACAGATTCTAGTTTACCGTATCCAACGCCAGAAAGAAAATCTCCAGCAACAAACATTCGCTCGAGCAGGATAGTGCTAGGATCTTCTTGAGGGCCATAGTAAGGAGCCATATTATCGCTGATCTATACACTGGCACAGCACGGTGGTTTTGAAGCGAATTTGAGTCTCTTCAGTTTCCGATCGAATCCGGAACAAAGAAGCTGTTATCTATCGTATCATGACCGAACGTCGAGCGCTGATCATAGTAAGAAGCTCCAGTCCATCGAAAGATACTTGTCTACTATATCAAGATGGTAACCGGAGCCATGGTGGTAATTTGAGACCGTATGCCACCTTTCCGGGGAGAGGACTGTCCTTATTCGATCCCATCAAGAATCTATCGGATTTCATCCAAGCGATCCGCTGATTGAATGGGATTGCCTACACATGTTCTAGCCAGATAATGAAAAAAATCTTCCTGAAGATTTTAATTTTATTCAATTCTCACCAATGAAGAAGTGGGTGACCTTACAAGAGATTTATCTCAAACTTCCTCTGGATTCTGTAGATTTAAATGGTCACCTGATATGTTCGACTGACAATCCACTAATCGTTCTGCTGCTCGAAGCGCACGTATCGAAAATTTGTACTACGATGAACAAATTGAATGATTGACCACGGATCATAAGTGCAGAAAGCGGGAAACCAATGAGACTATGAGACTATGCAAAAGATTTATCAATAACTTGAACCAAAGTTGCAGTGCTTGAATTATGATAATTTTATTATTCCCCTATTAAAGACTAGCCTTAGACGTGGATAGTCATAATATCTATATTAATAATATTTTCATGATAATTAATTACATCCGTGACATATTTACAACTACTTTTTGGTTTGTATTGATAAAAATCAATAGAAATCAATTTGCTTGCACTTAACACAAACTAGTTAAATGAACTTTTATTCTATGATATTCAATGGTAATCTCATTGATTTTCACCAAATTGGATTGATTCAATATTATATGATTTTATCAATTTTTAGTGAATTCCATGGATTACATATATATATATATATATAGATGCTATAACTCAACTTAATTCTGTTCTGTGAAGAAGATTTCAATATGAGTTGAATAGGTTCAATGAGAAAAAACAGGCTTACTTTGTTGTTTCTTTAAAACTGGGGCCTGCTCTTCAAACACCTATGAGTGGTATTTAGTGTAGAATCTTCTGCAAGATTATTTCAAGGACAAATTACAATCCCTTTTTAACTTCTGCAGGGAGATTGTCATAATATACCTTGAATTCAGATATGATACCACTGAGGTTCTTCAAAATCCATCCCTTCATACAAAGATTTTTGAAATTGAAATTGGTTGAAGAAAATATCATTGTATATGGCTTGTATGGGATGTGAACTCATTACTTGCATGTATGGTAGTGGTATCTATGGTGGCTTAAAAGCTCCTGGCAATGGTGATGGTTGCAGTGGTGATGAAAGAGTTGGCACTGGCAACAAAAGGTACTAGTGACAAAGATAGTGACACAGGTGCCAGCAATGAAGTGAGTAATGCTAATGATACTAGAACAGACAACATGTAAGGTCAGGAGACTTGTTGACCTATGTTCAAACTTTAAGAGTATGTCTTGTGTTAAATTCTATATGTTTCATATGTTCAAAAAGGAGAGATGATTCCATTCTTGAGAAATGATTTACAATACTTTAGGAATTGACAATTTTGACATCTTCTCTGACAAATGAGCATTTTGGCTATGGATGAGCAAGGTCAATGTTGGTGTGGTGCTAGTGGCAGGAATAGGAAATTTGAGATAAGTTCACACAAAAAAGATAAAATATGTATTGAGTACATAGTCAACATCAAGCATAATCTGTCATGACCCATTCCCTGGACCCCCGCACATTGCCCAACAACCCCCCACCCCCCCAGAACCTCCCCCAATGCCTTGCTGAACTCCCACAGTGCTCCGCACCTACTCCAGCTAACTCTGACACATCCTTGGCTAACTCCGATGGCCCCCTGGCCAACTCCGACATCTTCCCCGCAGTCAGCAATGCTTCCCCTGGATCTCCTGAGCCCCTGGGACCATTCCCCCACCATGCCTGACCCCGTTACACGTCATCAACTCAACACCCTGGTTCCTCCGACTTACTTTGGAGTATCATGATGACCTTGGAACGGCCTGCGTCAACAATTGATCCCATCAACATATCAACACAGCCCACCCTCTGATTGTAACTGACACCCGTTGACTTTGCCAAGCTCCACCAAGCCCCGCCACCACAGCCAACATTCCCCAGAGCTCTCCAGTGGTCAGTATATAAGACGTAGAGTAGCTCTTTGTACTCTAGTCTTGATATTGCTTAATGTTACCTATGGTCTGATTGTTTCTCTCTTGTGTTTTGTGTTCCGTGTCTCATTTTCTTACTCTCAGTCTCCTGGTCTTGTCTTGTCTCTATTCTGTTATTGTTTTCATTATCATTTTGTATCTCCGCCTGAATCTATTCTCATTCTTGTCTCCATCTTGTCTTGACTCCATCTCATTTTGTTCGACTCCATCTTGTCTTGTTTGATCCGTCCCATCCATTGTGTTCCTATCTTTCCCAACCTTAACACCTTTGCAAACCCTGCAATTACAATTACAAATCCCAGACACTCTTTAACCAACTCCAGACCTTGCTACACACTCAGCTCCAAACT